GAAAATATTGAAATGAGTAATTATACGACTTGGGATCCCGAATAGAGTCACATCATTTGAGTAATATGTCCACCTCACTTGCCACGATAAATTACGAACACTGTATTTATGTTATTAGAGCATCTCTAATGGTTTACACTATTTTTTTATACCAAAAATGGGATAACACCAAAATGGTGTTGAGTTTTGCTCCAATGGTTTACACCAATTTTTACACCAATAATAGATTTTCTTTAAAATTTACAAATCCACCCCGCTTATTTTTTTTTAAGTTTAAAAAATTATGAAATAAATTAAATTTAACATTTATTATATAAAAGAAATACATTGTAACATATAAAATAACAAATTATATTAAAATTTTGTTTAATTATTATCAAACATATTAGATTTTGGGTTTAACCATCACAATTTGTATATATTTTTCATTAATTTTATATTTGATTAAAATTTAAAATATTTTTTTATAAAAAGTTCAACGTGTAAACCCATTTTCTACACCATATTTGGTGAAAATGGGTTTACACAATTTTGATGTTGGAATGGAGAGATTTTTTATACCAAAAAATAGATTTGGTGTTGGGTTGGAGATGCTCATAATGGCTTTCACTAAATCAAGTAACTTTAGATGCATCCCATCTTTTGATCATTTTATGTATCAAATATACATTTGTATGCATTAAGGGTTAAATGAAAAATACAGAAAAGCTGCCAAATGTGACTTATATTTTGCTATTAGAGTTCTATGAAGATTTTAGGCAGTCGAAGGAAACGGATCAATGGCTAGAATGTCACTTTCTCTTGAAAATTGATCTAGAATGTCACTTTATAAAAATTAATTTATTTTTGATTTTTGTTTTTATTAAATCATGACCCACCAAAAATTAAGATACAAATTTTGGGGTAGGATTTGGATTTAGGGATTAGGGTTTGGGTTAACTATTATAAAATTAGGGTATAAATTTTGGGAAAGAGTTTGGGTTTAGGGTTTGAGTTAACTATTATAAAATTAGGGTATAGGTTTTGGGAAAGGGTTTGAGTTTGGATTAACTATTGTAAAATTAGAGTATAGATTTTGGGATAGGGTTTGGATTTAGGGCTTATGGTTTGGGTTAAAATTAGAGTATAGAGTTTGGAGTAGGTTACAGATTTAGAGATTAGGATTTAGATCTTGGGGTTAGAGTTTAACGTTATACCATTATAATTTTGTGGAAATGATTTAAAAAGCCATCGATATTTATTACTAAGTAAAAGGGCTTCTATACAAAACATGTAGAGTTAGTGTAGTGGTCGGGTCTTGCATTTGGTTATTAACAGCTATTCCTCGGTTCTCAGCACATGGAATCTATTTTTTCTGATTAAATCAGATTAAATAAAAAAGTGGCATTCGGATTATTGAATGGCACTAGGGAATCATTTTTTTTGGGGAAAGTGGTATTTGAGCYTTTTGTCCGAAGGAAACACTTTTTTTGTTTTTCTAGTGGGGGAGTAGAATCATATAATACGACAAGACGCTAAATTCAAAAAGGTATACTTTAAATGATGAAAATTTTAAAAGACCAAACATCTTTGACGAGAAAGACTGAGAAAACTTGAGGATTGGGTTAAAGAAAAATCAAACGATTTTTTGGTTTTTTTATGTTTTCTCTAGTTGTTGATTATTATGAGATTGAAATTGGATTTGAAGATAAATTTGATTGGTTCCCAACTTCACATGATAGACATGAAAGACTTTTTATTATATTTAACTAACAATGCCTTGAAGAGGAAGTAACACAACCATATGTTTAGCAAATATAAATCAACATTAGTACAGTCCACTGATTTTTTTAACTAATTAAGGAAATATAGATTCTATTCCAACTCTTAAAAAAAAAAAGTCAAGGACATTTATTCACTTGTGGTAATTTCAGTAAAGAAATTGCATCAAAATTTGTTCACTCTCTTAATTTACCATCAAAATTTAGCCCATTTTAGATCCAAGAGAGAAATTTATGGCGGCTGAATAAAATTAGGAGGTGTAGAATCTTGATACGACACTCCGCTAAATTCCACACACACAAAAAAAAACAGAAAAAAAATAATCGTATAAATAAATCAGAGAGATTTCGATTAATAAGAACAAATCTCGAAATCTCCGGTTAAAAAAAACCAAAACCACCGAAGAAAGAAGAAAGAATGGAGGATTCGGCGGAGAAGGGTTTGCTCGTCGTCGTCGGAGAAAAAGAAGGAACCAAGAAAGATGGGTTTTTCCGGGAGATGAGGAGGCTCGGTTACATCGCCGGTCCGATGGTTGCAGTGAATTCTTCAATGTATTTTCTTCAAGTGATTTCTATAATGATGGTTGGTCATCTCGGTGAGCTTTATCTCTCAAGCACCGCAATTGCAGTTTCTTTCTGCAGCGTCACCGGTTTTAGCCTCGTCGTACGTCTCTCTCTTAATCTCTAGCTAAAAATCTTGTCTTTAAGGGTTTGGTTCTAACTAAAAATCTTGTCTTTGGTTTGGTTATGTGATTGATTATGGTTTAATGGTTACAGTTTGGATTGGCGACTGCATTGGAGACTTTATGTGGACAAGCCAATGGAGCTAAGCAATTCGAAAAGCTTGGAGAACATACTTACACAGGGATTTTGGCTCTGTTTCTTGTTTGTATACCTTTGTCTGTTCTATGGAGTTACATGGGTGAGATACTCGCTTTGATTGGACAAGATCCTATGGTTTCTCAAGAAGCTGGAAAGTTTGC